CAATTGCTATTTCATGGCGAAAACTCAGCTTAAACACGAACTTCGGAATCGTTTGGACCGAACTCGTCCCCCGCACTCTTCGACAGCGTATCTTTGATCCACGAAAACAATCACAATTTGAGGAGGAATTCCACATTTATATACATCAAACGATAGCTCCGGGTCTGCAGAACACACATACCCACATGAAAATGGCGAACTCTTACTTGGTTATGATGTATTTGAACCACAAAGATTTAAAGACGAAAATATAATTTCACATAATTGATGTCACACACAAATAGACTATTAAAAAAAGTACCGCAAAGTACCGCTTCGAAAATCTCGCTACATGTCAATGAGTCATTGCACTACAAGATCCAACAGTCATTTCTTGCGACTTTTTGCGACTTTGGATGTAGCAGCCAAACATCAACCCGCGCCGGACCGGTGCTCGGCGTCAAACGCGCCGGGCCGGGAGGTGTTGATTGAACAATCCCCTTCTAACTCGGCTCTTGGGCCACATAGCGACACGTAGTAAGTGGCATTCGAAAGAGCGCCCGAAATTCCAGATACCGTAATTAGTCATTTCTAGGTCAGGTCAAAGGTCACGTCACCAGAGGTCATCAAAGGTAAAATGTTGCATATAACATTTCTCGAAACACCGGTTCTTACCTCGGGGACCAATAGAGCTACATCGTCGCAGAAAAGTGCATTCCATTGCTCTTTTAGCGGTCTTTCTGAAATAAGCCCTCAGATTCGGCTTAATTAACCCTCGCCCCTAGTGGTGTTTTTCCAGCCGCAAACGCATAGAAGGGGTCCGTTGGACCCCCTGCCGTTTCGCCCCTGGTCGAGCTAGAGCTTCGCGGAAAAGACGAGCGTGTTGCCCGTGACAAGAGGAATCTGATGATACCCATTTGTAAGGTCCTAGGTCATCGGTTGACCTTCCAGGTCAGGTCAATGACCCAAAAGTCGGGAAAATCGGGACCTGTTAGGACGTCGTAAAGGGTGGCTGCTAAATATGTTTTTTTGTGCTGATCACGAATATAATGTTATTTATGATCACAGATGATGTCTTCATGCATTTAGGCCAGGTCGGGTCAGGTCAGGTCAGGTCAACCAGAAAGGGTTTTGCCGGGTATTTGTAGAAGGTGGCAACCGCATCTGACAGCTTCGTAACATGTTACAAAGGCACCAAAGCTACATAGTAAATGTTCAAATGGTTGCTAGATTCGAATTCAGCTCCAAAAACTAGCCTAGAAACATGTAAAACTCGAAAAATTGAACCAAGGTCATCAAAGGTCAATGACCTTACCTGACCTTCCGGTGACCTTGACACCCACCCTAATGCATGGCAGCAACATAATACCCCATGCTTGAACGCTTTAAACCACGAAAAGACTGCAAACTCGCGGCTAATGCGAGCCGACATACGCTGAATCGCGATTCCGGCCAAACATGGTCTCGAAAGAAGGTCACAGGTCAAAGATCATTAAGGTCAGGGTCATGAAATTTTCAGGTTAGCTGTGAAATTAATTATCGCGAGGATACTGAAAGTTTCGTTGCAATCGGCCGCCTTTTACGCGAATTGCTCGCGAAAAACCGAGGGTTCCGTTCGAAGATTCAGGCCCTGTCGCGCTAGAATGGCATATCGGCCCACTGTGCACCGACCGCGATATGGAACAACGCTGGAGTGTGCCATTTGCCTGCGGCAGTGCCCCACCGCGCCGGGGCTGTTTGACAGGTCACCCGCACCGTGACCTCGCTACCCGCCCCGCCCCCGCCCCCTCGCCCCTCCCCACCTCCCCACCGGGCTCAGCTCGGTAGTGACCTCTCCTTGAATCTCACATGGACTCGACTGAGGCTCAACGCCATCTAGTTTCGTCTGGAGATCCTTACTAGATCCACTGTACAAAAACTGATCAAAGAAAAGGTGGCACGCGCCTCAGAAGCTTTCTTAGTGCCGCTGGAGATTTGTATCAGCTAGCTCAAAAACTTCAACAACGCGTGTTTGGCTGTCAGAAATGTCACATTTGAATTCCGGACACAATCGGTGACACACAATGCTAAGGATAAGGATGGGACCAGCAGTACCAGTCTCGATGTCCTTCCTTCGGTGGCACTCTGCCTGCACGCTGCGTGAGGACTGATGAGAGTGGCAGTGCGTCTTGTCCTTCCGAGACTCAGCTGTAGACGCTTGATTCTTCCATGGACTGATTGTATTTAATATTTATATCGCGCGGTGCTCGAAACCTCTCTAATTTTTTTTTCGAGCTATGAATTGACTCATTTTGGGAATAAGCTTTTGCTTGACATATGCGGTTATTCAATGCTTTATCGAATTATATAAGCCGATAGCATATATCAACACAGGTCAAATAGAAATAGAGAGAACCTGTTAACCCTCGCCAATGTAGGGGGGGTTGGTGCAACCCCCCCCCCCTGAGGCTTTTCGGAAATAGTGCAAAAACGGCGGCGGTACCTTATGGGGCAAATCTTGCGCATCTTTTGATAAAAAAAAATTTGGCCGGGTCATGTCAGGTCACGGAGTTATGACGTCACAACGGGAACAGCCTCCGGCCGGATTTTCACAAACTGAGTGCCAACGCCCGAGGTTTCCTGCCGGTGGTACGGACATCGGTTGATGGATCGTGATGAAACTTCCCATGCATGTTGGGGCAAGTATTGGCTATCATATGGTATAAGAAACTTGACCGGGTCAGGTCAGGTCACGGAGCTATGACGTCACAAGAGGAACAGCGTCCGGTACTATTTTTGAAAAGCGCCCGAACCACTATTTTGCTAATTCTTGTCACCTCAATGGGAATATGCAGCAATATTAGCTTCTATAGGGAGCAAATGGACCTCCCAAATCCAAAAATACAATCAGATTTCAAAAATTTAAATTTTGATTTTTCGAATTTCTGCCGCCGACTATGACCTTGCCGACTTCCGGCGCTCCCAACGCGCCATTTTTAGAGCTAGGGAAACGAAATACATACCAAACGATAGAGAATTGATCAAGGAACACGATAGTGAAGGTTTAAGTCGATATCTTCCACCGTTTTGCCGCAATCGCCGCGGAAAGTTGAAAAAGTCTATTTTTTCCGAAAATTTGACCTTTGACCGGTCAAAAGTAGGTCAAATGTTGACCTAGGACCAAAAAAATATACCACCAATCGCGAGATCTCGGCGAGAGCAATCCGTTGGTTTTTCCGCTAAGCTCTACGACGCTCCGTTTTCAAACGCCAAGGGGGGGGGTCGCACCAACCCCCCCCCTCCCCTGCATGGGCGAAGGTGGCAGATCGCCGTTTACGGGCGAGGGTTAAACCTCGTCGTCAGATGCGGCGCTGCACCACCTGTCTCTGGTGCGCTGGAGCTCGTCTCGCTGCGTTCACGCGCCACAGACAGAGGCCCTAACGAGCCGCTTCTCCGGGTGCGCCGCCCGCCGCCGCTGCGCCATTCGCCGCCGCCCCAGAGACAATGGCGGCAATCTGCACGACCGGCCGCGCCGGGGCGTGAATGTTCTGACGAGTCGCCTGTTGATGTTAGCGCAGCGATTACTGGCTGAGCGAACGTTGCCGTGGAAAGACTAGCGCTGCGCCGACTTTTACCGGTCATCTGAGTACATACATACAGGTCGGGAATGAGAGGTAATTAGATTTGATGTTAGCAAGTGGGAGATGACGGCGGAGACGACCATTGGAGATGACTCAGCGCTGACCGGTCGCTGCAGCATTGAGTCCGTTGATATTTTCATTCATTTAAAAGCGCTATAGACGCACAACTGCCTAACTATTGCATTGCTATTGAACGGTCTTTAGAATCATCGGGCATTCAGTCTACTGGATGGTACACATTAGCTGCCTAGCCTGCCTTCGAGGTACGCACATTTGGGTGCATTCAGCTTGATAGACGCCTGAGAGTTTTAAACGACGGGTCGTTTCATTATGTAACCATTATGTAACTTACTTTAATTAGATGTTGTAAAAGTTTTGTTTCATGCTCAAAGATCATCGCAAGTGGATCTATCACGAGTCGGGATTGTGTCGTGCATCTGAGTCTTCATCGTTTTTTGGTCATATCTAGTCGCAAGGTAATTATAAAAAATATGCTGAAATACAATGTTGGTTCAATATGGTATTTATTGTAAACAGGAACTCTTTTAACCAAGATCAGACGTAACCGTCATTTATCAAATAGGCGCCCAACTTTTAGCAGCATTCGTCTTTGGAAAATCTCCACCCGTCACCAAGTTGAGACACTCACCAGTTCCGTTTGGGCACATCGTGTTTAGAAAACGGAACGGTAGCATTAGCACCAACCGCCGAAACAGCTAACGAACTACTTCAAAACTTCACAAGCCGGCATGTTTACGAGAAACACGGCTCCGAAAATATCCCACTTGTCGCCCCCATTTCCCCAACTTCTCCCCTGCCCCGCCGAGTGTCCAAAAGGTCGTCGCTCTGAAGTCGCGGACAGGCTCCCCTGACCTTTCACATCGTAAAGAACGCCGGGACGTCATAGCTCGCGTCACCGATGGTCAAGTAAAAACGGAACAAAGAACGCGGATTGTCAGCTTCGGGTAGGCCGGCTTTCTGCTAGAGCGACCAGCCTCCAGGAGCTCAGAGAGGAGTCTCTCAGGCGCGGCCAGTCGGCGACCTGCTGTATCGACCTTTGCACCGGTGCCGGCGGCGGATCGGGACGGATCGGGACGCGCGCTGGTGCCGAGACCGACTCGGCGACGGTCGTGGCGCACCCGCGACAAATCCGAGCCGCGCCGCAAATCCGACAGCCGCTGCCGCCGGTCGGTCGGTAATGGCTCTGCCCAGGATGGATTTGTTGGACTGGTGACGTCCGTCCGTGTCCGTGAGTGGACAGGTCGGCCACAAATGTGACTGGCATTGAACATCAGTGATTGATGATACATCCCTGTGGCGGATGTGCGCTTAATTAAGCAAACTGAAAGGTCAAAGATAACGATTAGTAGTTAACAGCCACACTGACGGACAGACATGCAATAAGGCATTTGAAACACATTTATTGCGAGACTGGTCAAACCAACGCAAAATCGCGACGCAAATACTCTTGGCTTTCCACGGCTAGCCTGGCCCTGGAATATTACTGCAGACGCGCACTGAGTGCCTTTAACACCAACGTTATAGTAGAGGTGAGCTTACGACGAATATGTATATGTGTCGGCCTGTTGGGCGATGATCTTAGCGTGGCTCGCATCACTCATGTTCTCACACATCATCGAATTGCATGAACGCAATTCGCATCACATCAATATCACAAACGACTGATGATATTTATATTTATCTGCCTTATATCTGGTTTACAAATAGTTTTGTCATGACAGGCATTTCGTTTCCCTCTCCTCCCTCGCCATCGTGTTCAGATTAGCTGGGCGGAACGTACTCCAGCTGGAAGTCAAACCGGACGCAGCCGAGCAGAGTCTCCGGCGCAGACTTGGAGTACAGTGTCACGTTGCCATGGTAACCGCCCTGGAAATAAAAATGTTGCTTATAGGTATGACATAATGTAAATTATGTGTAATAAATATTACGTCATGATAATCATTATGACGATCTCTGGGGTTTGCAATGCGTAGTGTGCTAAGCAGAAAAGATATTAGTAGGTACTACGGATCGAACCAGATTTCTCAGTTTAGGTACCTTCGATGCCAAAAAGCTTCTTATGCCGATTTCTTCAATTTTGGTGTATTCACCTAGCTGGGAACTGAATTTACGCTTGAAAACTGAAGCTTGAAAATCGGCTCTCTAAGTAACCCCGTCATTTTTGAGATCCCAATGTGCGTGCCCCGGATAATTTTGTTTTCCTTACGGCGATGACGGAGTCGATGCCCTCTCCGAGGTCGGGGAGGGTCAGCGTGAAGCCATCCGACTGGTAGTGTCCGGCCAGCAGGCTGCACGAGCACGGCACCTCCGGCGGGAACAGAGGGCAGAACGCCTCCGGGTACTGGGTGATGTAGGCGCACATGTCGACCTCACTGCAGAGAAGTGGGGAGGGTGGACGATTGTCAGGTCAGCGGAGAGCGACCAGCCAGGGACATGGTCACATGGGACCCACCGGCGCGGTGGCTGACGCATGCTCTTCATAGCTTTTGATACGACAGTCAATGGTCAAGACGTTAAACATTGAGTCTTTTTATTACTTATCCAGAGAAATAAAACTAATATCCATGTAGGAAATACCAACAGTGATGAAATAAGACAGCAAAATTAACAAAAATTAAATTAATAAATAACCACCACCCTTGCTATAGAAGAAAATATAAATAGGTGGTTGAATTTCTTCGCTAGTGGACGCTATATCTGCTCCGATTTCACTGTAAGCGGCTCACCAGCTGCCGAGGCCGTTCAAGCAAGGCACCTCGATGTCGAATGGGTCCTCCTTGATAACCTCCACCATAATCATCATATCGGCCGGCCAGTCGGCGGTCAGGTCACCCTGGAACTTGAGCGTCATCGGGCCCGGCACGATGACCGGGTCGGGCGTGACGCTGGCATCGTGGAACACTGCGTTCGGGGTCAGTCCTGCCGGCCAGAGGTCACAGGTCAGGTCACAAGTCACGTCACAGGTCAGGTCAATGGTCACATCACACATCAGATCACATGCCAGGTCAAAGGTCAGGTCACAAGTCAATATGCTTGACTCGCCATGTCGTGAGGCTAGGCGGAGAGCCAGATGACAAAGATCACTCGCTAGTAGAGATGTCAATCGGATACCAACTTTTTGGTATACCTATACCAAACCAATACCAACTTGGTATTTGGTATTTCAATCCTAATGTGGTTGGTATTTTGTTGGTATTATGAACCCTCACTAGTGTATAAGAAGGTAAGAAATTGGTAAAAAGTTGGTATTTGCCTCATGCTTCCAAGTTGGCTCGGTTTTGGTATTTCCCCACGGCTGTGGTTGGTATTTGGTTTGGTATCGGTATTCCGATTTTCTGTAATTGACATCACTATTCGGTATAGACTGTATCTTAGGTCAAACAATGGGACAATGACATACAAAAGTGGCTTATCTTTCAAGAGTTTGCCTGCAGTGTAAGGCTGATTTGGCAGCATTATTGAAAATGACAAAGAAACAGCCTACATTGGCTAATCACATTGATTGATCGGACCTTTATCTGTCCTCAGAAAATGCCTGAAATCGCCCATGTCGTAAATTCTGTGATACAATGGAGCCCGGCCATGAAAGGGAAACTGCTCCGAATATTACCGAAGCTAGCTCGGTCGCGGGTCTAAGCGGGGGAGGGGTGAATCTGAAAGAAGGTATACCTTTGGCTCATTGGAATACCTGAAAGTTGCCTGTAAGGCTGAGTGTTGTCCTGCAGCTGATACGAGTTATGTGTGTGTTTCAACCGTCATCAGTGATGACAGGACATACGAGTACAATTAATATCTGACGGCTGCCACTTCATTAAATTCAACAGCCCATGACGGTTTAGCGCTGGCGATAGACTTCATCGAAATATCGAATATCGCATAATGGTCTGCTTTAGCTAAACTCCGTCTAAGAGCACCTAAAGCGTTTGCCTCTTCTCGAAAACGTATGCCTCAATGTGCAGAATTTACCAGTCACAAATCTGGCTAATTAGTCACTACATTCCATTGATCAAACTCAACCAAGTGTTCAGCCCCCCCCCTAAATCTCGACTTCACTTACCACAGTCCTGAATGGTGTTGGCCGCCGCCAGGCTGACCAGGACCGCAAGCACTGCCAGAGTACGCATGTCGACAGACTGTGACTGGTCAGCGGTGAGAGTCCGTGACTCCGACTCCGTGAACTCCGACTCTGGCTCTGACTCGCTGAGTGGCGGCGGCCGCCGCTGTTATAGCCAGGTGCCCGTGAGACGTGCACAGCTGCTGTTTGACACGTGCGCACAGACCCGACAGCTCAGAGTGGACTGACGGAAGGTATAGGAACAAAAACGGAAGTGGAGATGGCGTTTTGGGAAAAATTGTCACCTAGGTTACAGATGATACAGCATTTCGGCGACGACTGATGTCGTTACGTCACTGATTGGAGGTTTTGGTTAGGTGTTATTGAAATTATCATGACGAGGCCCGGTTTACTTCTGGTTCGCGTTGTTCGAAATATCCGTAGTTACAAATGTGAATTCTTCAAGAGATTAAAAGATAAAGATATTGAAATGACTATTATCGAAACATGAAATGAGATGCCGTCACTGCAAAAAAAAAAACAATAGCAGTACGACAGCAAAACGTATTACGGACTTAAAAAAGGCTTAATAACGTAAAAACAATTATCTCGCATACTAGACAACGTTGTAAAAAGTGTGTAGAAGCTTGATAAGTCAAAATATGCGACCGAACATACGCCAAACTTCTTAGTTCTAATTTGAGCGGATTACTGGCACATTCAAAGCACTTTCAGTGCGTGAATTTGAAATAGGCACTTGGCAATGTATGGTAGGCCGCGTGAGCTTCCGTCTCTTGCTTGTTTTACTTTTTGTGGGCTTGTAACTTTTCAGGGATATTCACAAATGCATCGTTGTATCCACTGATAGTTCGACGACCAGCCAAAGACGACAGATATTGAAGAAAAAAAAATACAAGGCGGAAATGCATCTACGAAACAAAACACGTACCGAATACTTATAGAACGTTCACTGGCAGTCAAGTCGCATATTCTCTTCGCCAAAGTGACTTCTAAGGGATTGTCAAAAAATGGTTGTAGCTAGGGATGCGGAGCCGTGAAAATTTCATCCGGCTCCGACTCCGGCTCCGGAGAAAAAAATCGGTTCCAGCTTCGGCTCCGGCTCCGGGGGAAATGTCATGGCGGCTCCGGCTCCGGCTCCGACTCAGTACATCCCCTATGCGCAGGGATGCGGAGCCGTGGAAATTTCAGACAGCTCCGGCTCCGGCTCTGGCTTCGGAGAAAAAATCGGCTACGGCTCCGGCTCCGGCTCCGGAGAAAAAAATCGGTTCCAGCTTCGGCTCCGGCTCCGGAGAAAAAAATCGGTTCCAGCTCCGGCTCCGGCTCCGGGGGAAATATCATGGCGGCTCCGGCTCCGGCTCCGACTCAGTACATCCCCTATGCGCAGGGATGCGGAGCCGTGAAAATTTCAGACAGCTCCGGCTCCGGCTCTGGCTTCGGAGAAAAAATCGGCTCCGGCTCCGGCTCCGGTTCCGGGCAAAATGTGCCGGCTCCGGCGGCTCCGGCTCTAGCTCCGGCTCCGGCTCCGCGCCCCTGGTTGTAGCATAATGGTTCGAGACATGCGCCTTACTATTGATTTGCTTTAACTAAACCCTGCCTCCCTAAAAAAAGTAAAACCAAATACAAGTTAGATACCAACTGTTACTTGAGCAAAATTTAAAAGCAAATAATTTTGAAAAACAGCGCCAAGTATTCGGGCCACCACACATGTGTGTATGTGTATGTGTGCAGCATGCTCTGTGCCTTGCCAGGAAGTGACTCCAATCTGTGCAGATAACTATGCCTTCACACCTGCATATTCTCACTGCAGCGTGTCTTGCTGGTGAGATACTGTGTGGCAGACTTATACAATGACAGGCCGTTTACATAATGGCACTTCCTGCGCGTTGTTATGAAATAAATTCAAATGATTGATTTTATTTTCAAGCAGTCAGTAGGTATTCAAGGTCCTCTAGAAAAACGTAAAGTGTAATTTTAACTGTTCTGTACCAATGACACACTTCATTCTGTTCGCTTATCTAAACGATATGTTTATGAAGGTAAATCCATTGTGTCCAGTTCAATTATGCCGCAGAAAATGTTCGGTCACTGGAGCGTTTCCGGGCCGTGAATACGTCCTCGGGCGTTGAGCGGGCCAATTGTCCGCTACCTAGACCATTGTCAGGCCGGGCCGGACGCCGGCTATCCACGGCCCGCAGACCAATCGAGCTCCATTCTGGCCGAGCCGACGAATGGCGACCACTTTAATCGCTGAATCGCTTATTGCGCTCCCCAGAATGCGTTCGGCGAGAGTTACAGCGGCCGTGCCTCCTTTGTGATTCGGCCCGGGACGGCCGCCGTGGACAGAGCCCTATCTGTGCACGGGATCAATTTCGGCTGACCCGCGCGGCGGCCGGCGCCGGGGGCCGCACTGCCCGCGGGCAGGGACAAAGGCCGGTCAGGCGGCGGCCGCGCCGGTACGGCCGGTCGGCCGCTCGGTGACTGGAACAAATCGAGCCGGGTCGCGATTCATTTGTCGGCTGTGATAGCGGTGCGTGGCCGCCCCAAGGCGAGAGGTCGCGTCTCGGATGGCCGCGGGGCCTCTCGAGACACAGCGGTCCATTTCAATTGGATGACCTGTTGGTGGGATGGCGCAGACCTAATAAAGATAGATCAATTGCGTATTTTTATACGTTGGTTATTTATGGCGCGATCCGTTTACAAGTGGAATCACACACACTTTACGATAATCATTTGTCCTCTCTTAATTTCACAATCATATCAATCCTCGATCATTTGCTCAGGTCCTATGCTCCAGACTGAACGGTGGTTGGCAACAGGTTTTTTTTAGGTAGATGAACTTTATTGAAGAAGTTGACTCTTCCGAGGAATAAACGATATCTCGACTTGATGGACGGTCGCTTGGGCAGTGAGGCTTTCCTTGAGATGGATGTGACATACGGCAGTTTGAACAGCTTTTGGCTGTGTTCTGCTTCACGTCCATCTTATCCTTCCAATGCATCTTATTTATTATCCCAAGGTCCTGCATGTCTTAGACCATCGAAGGAGGGCATCCAGCAAAACAAATGTAGGCTCTCAGGTCGTTTTCGTCCTCTTTGTAGGTATCATAATCGTGAAGGAAACACTAATTAGTCAGCTACCCACACCAGAGTGGAATTTAATTAAGGGTCAATATTGCGGGAGCGCGAGAGTATAAAATGCTTCTTCAAGGCTCCAGATGAAAACATCAGATCCAACATCAAACCAATATTATAGTGGCGTACGAGCCCTGGGATACGATGAACCCGTGGCTCTTCTCTGAGCTATCCCGCGACCTTGGAACAATATACTTACGCGATCAATGACCATCTGCCGACATTAGCACGTTAGAACTCTAAGTTATAATGGCTGCCACTCACTTCCAACTAAACGAGAGTCCGAATGGCCTGTCTTGAATACACATCCCTTTCCAGCGAAAACGGTGGCCGACACGCGGCCCAGTGGCGTTTGACCTGACCGGAGCGCTGTTACCTCAGATGAGACCAGCTCTCGGAGCCGAGATGACGAATGTATCCGACCAGCAGACCATCTTCAGCGAGACCCATTACGGTGGCGTCGGCCACCTGAATATCAACGCCGTGCCGGCGCCAGGGCCGTCCCAGCGGGTGGCCACCCGGCCGGCGGTGTCTAATCCAATACGGTCCTGTGGCCGGACCGCGGCCGGTCCCATACCAAGTGTGGTCTCGGACCACCTGTGGGGGGGGGGGGGAGGGCGATGGATGAGTCACACCCGGGTCGGCGGATGACCTGGCAACGAGGGACGTCGAGACAGGCGGGAAAGGAGTGACCCAAAGTTGTGACCGACGGGGGGTAGGTGCTGTGAGGCAAACCTGTATGCATAGTACATAAGTCGTGTGTGGTCTGAGAAGTCGTGTGATCCCAAGTTCCCTGCACCTGTAGATTGGTAGAGATAACTTTGTAATATCATCAGTTTGTCAGTGCCATCATTCTCATTTGCGAATGCATCGGCTGCTAAGTACTTTCAGTGACATGCAGTCATCTCCCTCATTAATCACTCAAAACGCATCGGGGCAGTGGTTTGTGCGCAGTAATTTGTTTGCCCATGCTTTCTGTTTTGGGGTGCACTTATGGCCGTGTTTCTTTGTTTATATTCTGGTGTTTCTTCGTCTGTGTTTATTTTTAGCTAGATTATCCCAAATCAATACCTTTCCCAAACTTGTTTCTTTCAAACAAACTTTACAGAAGTTGAATAAAAACCGAACCTTCAAATGCATCAATCAGTCACTAATGCACCGTCTGGCTTCAGCTGTCGAGAGCAAGCATAAACGAATAACACTCTCAACTTATTTTCTATTTGTGAGCAAGCATTGAAACATAATTCAAGACGATGTACAGATAAATTTGTATGTGTGTAGCACATCAGTTATCCAATTATTCCAGGGGGTTTCTATCGTGGGTAATAAACAAATGATCGAAAAAGCACGTTTGAATGCGAAAGAATCGACAGCAGAGGTCGTGCTGCACTGTAAAAAAGTTAAGCAGTTTGCCTGCTATTCTCGCGCCAAATTTCAGCAGTTCATAGCTGCTGTTTTCGGCTGCTAACAGCCCTGTAAATCGGTTCCTGCTAAAATTTTAGTAGCCTTAAGCTGCTAAATTACCTGATAATCGTGGTGTTAATTAACGTGTTGCATTTATGCACCCTATATATAGGGTGCGTAAATGCAACACGCATCCCTATATATAGGGTGCGTAAATGCAACACACATCCCTATATATAGGGTGCGTAAATGCAACACGTGAATTAGCACCGCGATTAGCAGGTTAATTTAGCAGCTTAAGACTATAAAATTTTAGCAGGAACTGATTTACAGCGCTGTTAGCAGCCGAAAATAGCAGCTACAAACTGCTGAAATTTGGCGCGAGAAGAGCAGGTATAACTGCTTAATTTTTACAGTGTGGAGGAAAGTTTGTTTGCGCCCCTGAAACAAATTCGTGACTTCGATATAAAATCGAGATGTCGGATTAGCATCAACAAACAACATTTATAAAATATGCAGCCGCTCTAGCTTTCATAATGTTAACGGTGGCTGAATAATTTTGTGTGAGCCAGAAAAAATGAAACAATCCCAACAGTAGAAATATGTCACTTCCATCCAGACTCTCCAGTCGCTCTTTGTTTCTTTTCCGTGTTCCTCCCAAGTCGCTTTCTTATGAGTGTTCCCTACTGTCATATTCTTCATTTTTCTGCAGTCACTCCTTTTTTCCGGTCACTTTGTGCTCACATCACACAGTTCTTTTGTTTTACAACGTTTCACTCTAGTGGCTTTCTCGGTTTCTACCCATTCTGTGCACTATTCTGGTCGCCATTTCAACATGCACCCGTCCTAGAGGTCGTCGACTGCCTCAGCTCTCTTTGTCTCACTCTGTCTTCCCACCCGTTGCACTCTTCCCTAATGCTTTCAAGGGAGCGCACTGCCAATCTGTCGTCTCCGAAAACAGAACCACCGACAGGATTCTACTGTTCGCATTCTTAGCTCCAGCACCGCACTTGTCAAAGGTAAAAGCTTTGCAGAATGGCGCTCTGACAACGAACAGTAGTCAATTGAA